ACAGCCCAAGTGGTAGGATGGTGATGGCAGCATCTCCTGTTCAGCCCCGCAGCCCTGGGAGGAAGCCCTGCTGCAGAAATGAGGAAACGGAGGCCCCGAAAGTCCAGCGTTACCTGTGAACACGCAGCCGTGGCCTTGAGAATCAGAGCCAAGGCACAGATGGCCCCAGCTCCAGCCCATGGGGCCATCATGGAGAGTACCTGGCAGGGAGGGCTGTGGCGACCGGCCGGCGGGCGCCGGGGTGGCCAGCTCTGGCTTGCGGTGGGCATTCTGGAGTCTCTCGCCAGCCCACGTGGTAGTTAGTGTGGGTGCTATTACCCCGTCTGGCAGATGAAGAGATTGGGGCTCAGTCCGGATGACAGGCCTGGCCCAAGGCACGGTGGTGGTGAGCCCTGCGCCCCTCCCTGGCCCGTCCCCCAGCAGCTGGCATCCTTATCGGATGCCCATCTGCCGAACCGAGCCACAAAGGTGTCAAGAGCAGCAGGTTGCAAGGCGCTTCCAACTGGCTTTTAAAATATAATTATAGAGGCGAAGAGGCTGGGAGCCTCCACACCCAGGCAGGGGGCCCTGGGGGGCTCAGGGGCCTGGCATTGTGCTGGGGTAGGGGTGCATCTTAGACTAAGTGGCCAGAATGGCATCCTAGACCTGCAGTAGCATCAGGGATCAGGACCTGGATGACCCTGCAAGGATGAAGGAGTTTTGTCCTCAGTTTTGGGGGCCTGGGGGCACCTTCAGGGGAAAACCTGTTTGGGGGCTAGTGTCCAGTCCAAACCCAGCTCATATGGATCAGAAGCTCTAGACCTTGCACAGGTAACCTACTCTCTCTGCACCTTCGTGCTCTCCTCTGTAAAGGGGAGGCTCTGGTGAGGGCTCATGGGGGAGAGGGTGCTCTGCAAGTCACTCTGCAAACGCCCTTTCCTTCTCATCACTCCACATGCACACATGTTCCCGAGGACTGATTCACACAAAACCAAGCTCCCGACAGGCTGGACCAAAATTTCCATTAACTGGTGGACTGCAAGACACAGAGCTAACTGCCTGGAGAATTGAGCATTCAGGATGGAGGCCACCCCTGCTTAGGGGCCACTTGGGCCTCAGTGTCCTCAGCTGCAAAGTGGAGGGGTACAGAGATGACCTCACGGGGAATGAGCTGTAAACTGAATGAGATCGAGATGCTAAAAAGCCCTCTTGCTTTCCCTGTCTCCTGCTGTTGGACCCCACCCTAGCAGGCATGCCCGGGAAATCCGAACAAGCTTGGCGTTGTGGCTGAAGTGCCCAAGTTCATGAAGCCCAGGGCAGGGGTTGGACTTGAGACCACTGACAAAAGGTTTCCTCTGGGGTTGTCCCTTAAAGAGACCACTCCTTGGCCACACCCGTGAGGCCGGTTCACAGTTGGACCAGGAATCAAGGGTCCCAGCTACCAGGCTGTATTCCCCACTCCCCAAGCCAGCTCTGCGACATGGGCAAACCTCTTTTGCATCTCTAGGCTTCCGTTTCCTGACCATAAAGGGAGACCGCATCTCCCACGAGACACCCCCAGCTAAGATCTTCCCCTAATTTTATGCCCACACAGGTGTTCATGAGGTTGCTTTACGTATTCTAGAAAGGCTTGGGACAGTCTGAGATTTTCACCATGGGGGTATTGGGTGACTCTGATCTCAGCTGAAAGCCTCCTCCTAGGGTCCATTACTTCTCTAGAAAGGAGAGACCACCGGGGCGGTGTGCGGGGCTGACAACTAACTCCATCACAGGTGGCACCCAGGCTTCAGGCACATGATCAAACACAGCCCCTGGGCATAGTGTCCCCTCCCCACCCCGCCACTGTGCAGGCTTCATGCAGCCTTAACACAAGAATGGGAGCAAAACCATTTTGTATTTGTTTTCCTGAATTCTGAGCCTTGTAAGGATGCCGCCTAATCTCTGAAATGTTTTTCAGACAAATACTTCTGGGAAATAGTTTGGCTGGGCGGTATAGATAACTCCATACAGGTAGCACTCGAGCTGGCTCCTGAAAGCACGTCTCCATGGTTTCTTCTTGCCTAGATCTTATTAAAGCAACGGCAGTGGAGTTTTTCCCACTTAATAAAAAATAAGACACATTCACGTATCTGGAAAACACAGACTCGCACAAAGAAAGGACAACAGCTCTCCCCAGTTCCTAGCAGACACCCCACTTTTAAAATTAGGCACGTCTACATATGCGTGTAGAGTGTGTGAATGTCCACAAACGCGCAGTCATGGAAGCGCGCCCCCCGCGGCATACACGGGTCTGCCTGTCATGAGTTCCCCCCAACACGGCTGTGAATGTCCCCGAGCCCGTGTCCCTCGGAAGTGCACCCAGCCGGCCGGTCACTGCAGACTGGGCTGTTTACAATTCTCACTGGCTTTGCTATCTCGGGGCATGAGATGAACGAACGACAGTGAACGAAATCTGGGCTTCTTGCTTCCCCGCAGCTACGCAAACGGGCCTCTCCCTGTGCTCGGGGAGCTGCTCTGGGGCGTCCGCTCCTTCCTCCCGTGGCCCCACCGCCCCCCCACGTCGCGCGCAGTCTAGGACACACGTCGTCATGGTTTCCCTTCTCCCCTCCAGGCTGTGACCTGGGGGGTGCCCTGTGTTCCCCCCAAAGTTAGGTCCTGCCTGGCTCACAGAGCTCTACGAATGTTCGTGGAATGAGTGAGCATTCTGCTCCTTTGGACGACATGTTGGCGATGTGCTTGTTTCTTTTTTTTTTTTTTTAGATTTATTTATTTATTTATAAAAGCACAGTCAGAAATGCGGGAGGGTGAGAGAACTCACCAGAGCCAGAGCGGGGAGCAGAGCAGGCAGAAGGACCGAAGGACACTGCTGAGGGGAGCAGCGGGCGGCAGGAGAGGTCTGCGCGCCATGTGGGACCCTCCTCCAGTGGCCGGGGAGCAGCCGGGGATCGAACCGGCGCTGCAGAGGCCGTGGACAGCTTCGCAACCCAGCGCTCAACCGCTGTGCCACCGGGGAGGCCCTTTTTTTTATTTGTGGGACCCTCGCTGGCAGCCGGGGAACAAACCCGGGCGCTCAACCGCTGCGCCACCGGGGGAGGCCCGATGTGCTTGTCCCTGAGGACAGAGGTCCGACGTGCAGGCGCCGCATGGGCTGCGAGGATGGGCTGGTGCGCCTGAGGAGAGCTGGTACCTCCCTCTGTGCGGGACCCTGGGGCGAGGGCGCAAGTTCCCATTTCTGCGCAGTCACTCAATACCTGTTCCTTAGATCAGAGCCTGGCCGGTGGCGGCCGGGCGGGCCCGGGAAGGAGGACAGGTCGCGGGCGGGAGCACGTGGCCGTCCCGGCTCACAACCAGGACCGGGGAGAGCCTCGGAGGTCACTCCCACGTCCTCGGGCCCTGGCCTAGACCCAGCGAGTCCCGGGCCCGGCTGCCCGGGGCGAGCAGCAGCCAGGGGCCCCCGGGCCGCGCACGCGGGGCTGCCCACCCACACGCGGGGCGCGCGGTCTGTTTCGGGGTCGGGCCCGCAGCGCGGCCTGCGGGGGCTTCTCCAAGGCGCGTGTCTGGAGCCGCCGGGCGGCGGTTCGCAGCGGGATGAGGCGTGAGCACGAAGGCAGGACGTCCGGCCCGGCTCCCTCGGCCGCCCCGCGGGGTCTCCGCCCGGGTCCTGCCTCCCCGCCTCCCCGGCCTGTTCCCTCGGGCGCCGGCCCCGCGGCCCCGCTGCAGGTGACCGCGGAGGGCCGGGCTCCGCGCCCGGGAGCCTCACGCGGGCCGGGGCGACGGCAGGAGGCGAGGCCGGGCGCCCGGCAGGCGGGGGCCCCGCGAGCAGCCCGCGCCTCGGAGCCCCGCGGCCCCCCGTGCGCGCCCCGAGGCCCCCCGTGCCCCCCCACCCCGGGCTCGGGCCCCCGGCCCGGACGCCCCGAGGTGCCCTGACGCCCGGCTCCGGCCCGACAGCGACGCCGCGGGGGGGCGCTCGAGACGCCCGGGGCCGAGGAGACGCGGCGGCCGCGGGGCGGGAGGCGCCGGACAGGGGACCCCGGCGGGGCGGGGCGGGGCGGGGGCGGGGCCGCGGGTCCCGGCCAATCGGGGCCCGCGGGGCGCCCCGCCCACCGAGGAGGCGGCGCCTGCGCACTCGGCCGCCGGGCTCGGGCGCGCCCCTCCCGGGGCGGGGCGGGGCGCGGGAGGAGCGGGCCCGGCGGCGCTCGGCGCTGACGCACGCACCGACGCGCCCGACGTCGGGCACGTTGACGCCCGCGACGCGCCGCCGGGCCCGCTCCTCCTGCGCTCGGCCAGTGTCCGGCGGCGGCCGGGCTCGGTGACTGCGGCGGGCCGGGGCCGGGGCCGGGGCCGGGGCCGGGCCGGGCCGGGGCCGGGGCCGGGGCGCGGGCGGGCGCCGGCGCGGGCAGCCGTGGTCGGGCCCCGAGCGCGCCCGGGCGAGCACCGCCCCGAGCCGCCGCGGCGCCTCCTCGCCGCTCCCGCCGGCCAGCAAGGTGAGGGAGCGGGCTGCGGGCTGCGGGCTGGCGGCGGGGCCGGCCTGTCACCGGGGCGCGGGCCGGGCGCGGCGAGGCGCGGGGCCCGGCCGGGCGCCCTCCCGGCCCCGGCCCCGGCCCCGCGCCGCCCGACCCGGCCGCCTCCCCCCCGGGCCCGGAGCTCGGCGCGCCGGTGCGGTGGCGGCGCCGGGCCGCGCTCGCCGGCAGGTGCGCGGTTGGGGCGCCGGGGCCGGGCTCCTGCCCGCCGCCGCGGCCCGTCGTCACTTCGGGACACCCTGTCGCCGTCCCGGCCTCGCCGCGGCGGCTGCCCGGCCCGCTCGGCGCCTCTGCGGCCGCGTCTTTCTGGGGAGGGGGTGCCGACTTCGCCAGCCGGGTCGGGTCGGCCTCCGGGCACCTCTCCCGGCCCTGGGCGCGCACCGAGTCCGCCCCGAGCCCGGGAGCCGCCGGTCTCCCGCCGCTGACTGCCCACATTCCTGGGAGATGCCGGATGGGTTTTGTGCTTGTCAGTTTTCCTGGCTGCGGCTCCTTCCGCGCTTCCCTGAGAGACGATGGGTGGCTGGGTTTTGACTTTCTCTCCCACGCCGGGAAGTAGGGCCAGAAGGTCACACACGCACACTTGTTCGCGGCGCTGGAGAGTGCAGCGCTGCCCACAGTACCGCAGGGCTTGCTCTTCACGCGTCGGGGTGTCCTCTGGTTTTCACCCTTCCCTGGGGGCGCCCCTTGACTTTACAGAACACTGTAATGGTTCCTGGCCTCAGGTCCCCATGGCGGGTCCTGGCAGTCCAGCTTGCGGTGTTGCTCGCCAGCGTATTCTCGTACCACCCGCCCTGTGGGTGGGAGGGAAGAGCCAGGCAGCCGCCTCTCCCTTGTGCATGGCTGAGCACTTTCGGGTGCAGCCTGGAGGAGCCTTTCTTTCGCGCCACTTATCTAACCTCTGGGTCTCTCTCCAAGATGATGTGCGAGGTGATGCCCACCATCAGCGAAGCGGAAGGCCCCCCTGGAGGTGGCAGCGGGGGCCCGGGGCCCGGCTCCCCTTCGCAGCCAGATGCAGACTCCCACTTTGAACAGTTGATGGTCTCCATGCTCGAAGAGAGGGACCGTCTCCTGGACACGCTGCGAGAGACTCAGGAAACGCTGGCATTGACCCAGGGGAAGCTGCACGAAGTCGGTCACGAGAGGGACTCCCTGCAGCGGCAGCTCAGCACCGCACTTCCGCAGGTACGGCCGCCAGGTCCTTCTCCCTTCCCTGTTTAGTGCCTCTCCAGCACAGCCCTTGCCCTTGGTGGCACTTCGGGCTGGTGTTTGTCAGTTGCCTGTCAATGAAGTTACTGAGGACTGACCTTCTGGGGGAGGCCACACCCCTGAAGTCAGGTCACAGTGCCATGTAGCTCCCGTTCCTTTCTTGGGGGCAGCAGAAAGCACGGCGGAGGCCGGGGAGTGGGCACAGCGTTTTTGAAGAGGTCCCCGAGGCACTGAGCTCTGTGGGGCCTCCCGTGCTGTTGTCATCAGCCGGTTCCCAGCACGTTCCCATGGGGTGCAGGTGGAACCCCATGACCTCAGGACGTTCAGTGCACGTGGAGAATTGACGTCACAGTCCATATTTTGCAGGACACCTGTGCTTTGTAAATCGAATTTGTTTTAAGGGATGGAAAAGTGGATTTGATTCCTTTGGAGCTTTCTTCTTGGCAGATGAGAGTTACAAAGCTCAGAATCGCTAAGTATATTACATTCGGATCAGTGTTTCCGAGCCCTTTCTTATGGGACTGAGTGAGGATTTAATGATAGGTGGAGGGAGAAAGTGTCGCCTAGAAGAGCGTGAGGTTATTTCGGTGTTTATGAGCTGTCTGGGTGCCATTTTACTTATTCATAATAGGTGCCTTTATGGCGCTTTCAGGTAGAGCCGAATAGCCCGCATTAGCCCCATGACGGGTGTGCAGCGGTAAATTAGTAAATGAATAATTACTGGCCTTAATGCGTTTCTTGGCTGTAGTCAGTTCTCTTGAAAGATTGATAAGCTGAACATTTGGATTTCTTTTCTTAGCAGCAATGATTTGATGTTAGTGGTGTAACATCCCTTCTTGTTGGGTTGAAGAATCATTACAGTTTTTCTCACTTGAATCTTATAAACTACCAACGTTGCTTAGGTCAGATTTCATTACCACAGCGGAAAGCATTGGCCAGATTACATTTTACCAGGATTTCCAGTGACTTGTGGGTCCTTCCAGTAGTCTGGGTGGTTTGTGTGTGTTGGTGCTTGTGCTTGTTATCATGTGATTTGAGTACCGAACTGAGTGTCAGGTATCAGATGCGGTGGTTTGGGGAAAGAAGGGCCGCCAGGGCCGGGCTGGGAGGAGCGTGTGAGTGAGTGTGGCTGTCACGCCAGCCGTGAGCCGTTGCTCAGGACGCGTTTCTAGCGACCGCTCCTGTGGTGGCCAGGCGAGAGGAGGAAGGGTTGATGTCAGCGGCTCGCCTCGCCACCTGAGCTCCTGAGGCCAGCAATTCAGAAACTCGGGGGGGTGAGAGGATTCACCAGAGACACAGCGGGGAGCAGAATAGGCGGATTGACTGAAACACACTGTGAGGGGAGCAGCGGGGAGACAGGAGAGGTCTGCTGTGCTCTGTGGGTCAGCTCCCTGGCTGGGGGTCGAACTCAGGCCGCAGTGGCTGCTGATAGCTTGGTAGCTCTGAGACTCAACCCCTCCCCTCTCTTGGCCAACTATTTGAAAGCTTCCCTTCCTGGCACTCGTGTCATGTTTGGTGGGTTAGTGTGGCCACCCGGGCGTGGGGGTGCAGTAAGTGCACTTGCGCTCCGGGCACACGCCACAGGCGGGTAGCGGCACATTAAAGAGGGTGTCGCTGTGAGCTGCATCAGACACTCCAGGCCTCCCTGCACAGCCCAGCGAGGTCTCACTGCGCGCAGCGCCACCTAGACTGAGAACCAGGGCGTGCCAGGCGTCCCGGAAGCCCCTCCCCTCCCCGTGGAGACTCCTGCTGTCTGTCCCTGCCGCATGTCCGTGATGACGACAGATGGGACGTCGGAACGTGGGTGTTTTGCTTCTTGATTCTCTCACAGCTCTGCTCGTGAGCACCCGCGGGTGTCGCACGGGTGTTCTCCGCCGGCGGGCCACCCAGCCTGTGCCTGGACCTCCGGGCTCTGCTGTTCCGCGGTGTCTGCTTGCTTCGAGCTTTTCCAGATGCCCCCTGAAAGCTCTGGCCTGTCTCGGGGTGCAGATCGGTACACTGTTGGTGTGTTCAGGAGGGAGGCGGTGAAGAGGGACGAGTGTGGGTCGTTCACCCTCGGTACTCAGCGCAGAGCTGGGCCGTGACAGTGCTGTGTCCAGCCTCCCCTGCGGCTGTCGGGGGTGTCTGGGGAGACAAGGCTTCCCCGCGCGTGCGGGCGCATCCGGGTTGCCTTTTGCCTGGTTTTTGCCTGGCGCGTCCGTATTGCTGACTGGCTTGAGGCATCCTCCCCCTGTGTCCTGGCCGTGTCTGCGATTTCATCCTCGGAGGAGTGTCTTCCCAGCAAAGGTTTTCATTTTAGTATAGCCCAACGGCCGGTGGCTGCTGTGTTTACTGCTGTTGGCGTTCAGGGAAAGATGTTCTCGTGAGGCTCCCACGGGCCGCATCCTAGGAGGCTGTGTGGTCTGCTTTTCCCGCTCCCGCCGCCGCCCTCTGACAGTGGTTCTGCTTATGGTGTGAGGCGCGCCAGGTGTGCCTTCTCGAACGTCAGTGTGAAGCTGCCTGGGCGGCTGGGCAGGGCTTACTGAGGGCCCTGACCTCGGTGCTCGGCTGCATCGCCGCCGTTTTTTTCCTTCATTTCTCTTCCTCTTGCGTAGCCTTCTGCTCAGAGGCCTGGCACCCCCTGGCTGGGTATATTCACAGGTATTTGATGTTATGGATGCATTATAGCTTTAAAATCCAATTATGTAATTATTTATAACCAGTATATCAAACTGGAATTGATTTTTATGCATTTATTTGACCAATCCGTTTATTTCTAATAGTACTTTTTGCGTTTCCCATGTATATACAGTTATGTTTGCAAATGAGTCTTTTTTTTTTTCCCTTCCTAAGTGCAGACTGTTGTTCCCTTGCCTTGCTGTTGGCCTGGCAGCTCTGGGGTGTCCACAGAGGGAGTGACGATGGGGGCCTCCCTGTCACAGCGGGTTGAGCGCAGTGCTGTGAAGCTGTCCGCAGCCTCTGCAGCGCGGGTTTCATTCCCGGCCGGCCAGGGAGATGCCCACATGGCACACAGACCTCTCCTGTCTCCCCGCTGCTCCCCTCAGCAGTGGATTTTTTCAGTCTGCCTGTTCTGCTTCCCGCTCTGTCTCCGGTGAATCCCCTCACCCTCCCGCGCATCTGGCCTGTACCCTGGTTCTTGTATAAAAATAAATAAATCTTAAAAAAAAAAGAAAAGCAGTGATGATGGGGCCTGGGGCTCGGCGCCAGCGTCAGGGAGCGTGCCCGTATTCGCCATCCCCTGGCGTGGGTGCTGCAGCTTTCTTACAGACATTTGAATCAAAATTTTCTTAAATGCAATTTCTGCATCTTTTGAGACAATTGATTTTTCTTTTGTGTGCTGATTTAGACGTAAAAGAAGAAAGTGCATTTCTGGAATGAACCTGGTCTCGCCTCCCCCAGCTGGAGTTCGTCTGTGCAAGTTGTGCAGAGGAGTGTGGATCTGTGGTTGCGAGCGACTGGGCTGTCGCTTCGGTGCTTAAGTTTTCCTTGCTCAACTTTGGTATCAGGCCTCATTAAACAGGGTGTAGAGTGTTGCTCTGCTACTCCCAGAAGCGCTTCTGTGGGGCGGCTGCTTTCTTCCTTAGGTTTTTGGAAGGATTGATTGGCAGAACTGGCCGGTATAGCGGGGGGGCGGGGGGGGGGGTGAGGGGGTGTGGGGGGGGGGTGTGTGTGTGTGAAGGCTTTTGATTCCATGTTCAGTGCTTTACATTTGATTTTATAGTTCTTGTGTCTAAGACTATGTCCGGCGTTTTCTGTTTCAGAAATTCGTTGAGGTTTCCCAGCTCGCCGGTGAGCTGAGGTGGCTCATGGCGGCCCTGTGCCCTCGGCGTCTCCAGGGACGCCCCCTTGACTCTCAGCACCGGTGACTGGCGCCTTGTCTCTCAGTCGTGCCGGAGTTGCTGTCAAAAGAACCAACTTTTGGTTTTTATTGATTATTTTTATTGTTTTCTGTTGCATTAATGCCTTTCCATATACTTGTGGTTTGTTTGTTTTTTGTTGTTCTTTTCTCCAGTCTCTTGAGGGGCTTCCTTGAGCTTGAGCCCCGACTCTTTCCAGCGCGTGCTCTGGCGGCTTCCGTGTTTCCTCCAAGCAGATCGTAGCCGCAGCCACAGGTTTGATAAGCCCAATTTTCCTTGTATTCTTTTGTCCACAGAATCTTTAGAAGTGTGTCACTTAATGCCGCAGCGCCAGGCGGGGCTGTTCCGGTCACCTTCGTGTTGCTTTCAAGCCCAATTCCACCGAGACCCCCGCCTTAGCCGTTTCAGGCCGCTGTCACCAGATCCCCCCGCGGGCGGCTCACAGGCAGCCCAAGTTGTTTCCGGGGGCTCTGGGGTCTGCTCTGTGGGCGGGCGTGCTTGCCCGTCCTCGGCTTCCCCGCCCCAGGTGGCTGCCTTCTCCCTGCCCGCTGCGGGAGAGGGCGCGGAGCTCCTCCTCTCAGGACCGGTGGCCTCCCTGAGTCCTCGCCCTCCGCGGCTGTCGCCTTGGCTGTAGTGAGTTCGGCGGCCACAGTGCCACCCGCTGTGGTCCCCATGGCCCCCATGTGGTCTTTCAGTCTTTGCGGTGTGGGGCGCGCTCCTCGGGGCCACCCTTGTTTCTCCTAGGCGTTCCTTGAGAGGAGCGCGGGCTGATGGCCACGCCGCGGCCTGCTGCTGCGTCAGGCACAGCGCGTCTGTGGATCGTGTTTCTCTGACTCTCGTGGACACGTTACACGAAGGAGAAAGAAATAGGGGAGAGTAAATTTGGTAACATCTTTCATTTAACCCACATATCCAAAATGTTATTTCGTTGTGTAATCGGCATGAAAAGACGGATGGAATAGTTTACATTCTTGCCGTCATACCGCCTGTGAAACCTGGCGTGTAGTTTATTCTTGAGACACGTCTTGGCTTGCGGGGCCGCGTTTCCGGTTCCTGCGCTCCCAGCAGCCCCGCGCCCGCCGGGGTCTGTTCCGCCCTTTGTTGTAAGAGGGGTCTGAA